ACCGCATCCCAAAACCAGTCCAGCTCGTCCCTGCCTCCCTAACCTGTTCTTCCTCCCACCTATCCCCTCCTCCCACCTCAAGCCGCACCTCCATCTCCTACCGACCAACCTCATCCCGCCCCCTTGACCTGTCCGTCCTCCCTGGACTGACCTATCCCCTTCCTAACTCCCTACCTACACTCACCTTTCCTGGCTCCATCCCCGCCTCTTCGACCTGTTTGTTTCCTCTCCACCTATCCTCTCCTCTATCCCTCTTCTATCCGCCTCCCACTCTCTCCTATTTATTTCAAAACCCCCTTCCCCTCCCCCTTTTCTGATGAAGGGTCTAGGCCTGAAACGTCAGCCTCTCTGCTCCTATGATGCTGCTTGGCCTGCTGTGTTCATCCAGCCCTGCACCTTGTTGTCTCGGATTCTCCAGCATCTGCAGTTCCTACTATCTCAGAATCATGCTGTCTATTGTTTTTTCACCATCATCTCTGACTTTGTGGGATAAACACGATTTAGCTTTTAGTTATAAGTAACTCCAAATTTGTTTGAATTTGCATTAGGACTGCTTATCTGTTTCTCAATCAAATGATCCAATTTTTCTACAGTTGGAATGTTAATTCCTAAAGCTATTCTAAACATATGAATTGTGAACTAGATATTTGCAACATTGATAATGTATTTTCTATTAGAATTTATTTGCAATGCAACCTTAAACTGGACACAGTTGTTCAGCTGAACTTATCAGTGGTTTAGAAGATGGGAGTTATGTATAATATCAGTGATTCAGACGGTGGAAAATGTTTTTCCCTTGGTCTTCATTTTTTTGAGAATCTGGTATTACACAATCACATTATTTTTGACACTGCTATGTATTGCTTGCTGTTTTCACTCATATAAAATTCTATTTTCCATTCATATCCACAATTGTGAAAAGTGAGTAAATCCTTTTGGACAGATGTACCTGCTCTAAGTCTGTTCCTTTTCTATGTATCATTTGCAAGCTTAAGCATTCCACTTGCAATACTGGAAGTCATTAATAAACTTCGTCTACTGAGAATCCAAGACAGAACATTACACGAAATCTGCAGCTCACAGCTTTGCACAGCAAAGGATGGAGAAAGGCAATGGCCTCGTGGTATTATCACTAGACTGTTGACTCAGATAATGTTCTGGGGACCCAGGTTCAAATCCCACCATGGCAGATGGTGGAATTTGAAGTCAATAAATATCTTGAATTAAAGAGTCTAATGATGACTATGGATCCATTGTTGATTGTCAGGGGAAAACCCATCTGGTTCACTAATGCCCTTTTGGGAAGGAAACTGCCATCTTTACCTGGTCTAGCCTAGATGTAACTCCAGACCTACAGCAATGTGGTTGACTCTTAGGGATGGTAATAAATGCTGCCTAATCAGTGATGCCCTCATCCTGTGAATGAATAAAGGAAAAAAAATTCTAACCCACAATTATAATTGTGGGCAGCACAGTGACTCAGTGGTTACCACTGCTGCCTCACAGTGCCAGGGACCTGGATTTGATGCCACCCTCGGATGACTGTGTGGAGTTGCATGTTGTCTGCGTGGGTTTCCTCCAGGTGCTCCATTTTCCTCCCACACCCCAAAGATGTACATCATTAATAATATCATTTAAAATTTCATGAGTCTGCACCATCTGCAAGATTTTATCACATATCTTGTGAAACAGAATCCCCTTGTTTACAGAATAAATTTGTTAAGTGTGTAACTCCTTCAATGTATTGACTTGGGAGTGCTGCTGTTACTGTCCTACATTCTAATAGACACCAATTATTTGTCCCGGTAGAGCTAGATCAGGGCCAGAATATGTGGCACCCATCTCTATCAATTTACTCATACACAATTTAAATGTAATTGCTAATAACTGAAATGTTTGTAAGATATTCTTTTTAAGGTTTCATTTTTTATAGTTTTTGCTCACAGTCAGTTAAAGAAACACTTTGTGCACCCAGCCCTGTAGTAACAATTCTAATGCAAATGTAAAAATATAACACTATCCTTTTGTTTTATGCCATTTGAAGCTGTAAGAGACATTCAATCATTAAAACATTTGACCATATACCTCCTCTCTTGTCCCATCACCAACCAATTCAACACTGACAATAACCTGTCACTTCCATTTTCTCAGCTGTGAGTCCCTTGCATCAATCTGCATAAACCAGACATAGTTCCAGTGAAAAGTTGTAACTAAATGACCAAACAACAATCATTTATCAGATTTGGCTACAGGAGTCACAACCTGTTGTCAAAAGCAGGATTAATCCTGACCCAAAGAAGGAACTTTTCTGATTTTCTGAAGAAGAGTCTCGACCCGAAACATCAGCTTTCCTGCTCCTCTGATGCTGCTTGGCCTGCTGTGTTCATCCAGCTCTACACCGTGTTATCCCAAAGAAGGAACTGTCTTTATTCTAATTCACTGGTAGATTTCAGAAAATTAATAGCAACTTTTAATCAGCAGAACAAGTGCAATTTTTGAAAAGAAAACAATGTATAGATGCCTGGGCTACCAAATGAAAGAATCAAATTGATCTGAAAACCTACATAACACCAGCAAATACAGACAGAACACAATAAAAATGTGGGCTAATGTTTTGCATCGGATCCCTCTGTATGTAGCTTTCCGGTTCTAAAAGGAGCCTGACTTGGAGATGTCAGCCAGTTATTGTCCTGTCCAGGTTTTGTTGGGCCAGTACAGCATTCCCAACCTGTTCTCATTTGATTTCAGATACTCATCATTAATGTTCTTTCTTATGTTTGGAATACACACTGTGAAGTTTAAAGTGTGATCTAGCTGAGATTTCTTCAGAAATGTTCTTTTGAAATAGGAGTGCATCAAGGTGGCTCTTGGCTGCAAATACAATTATTCATTTCATTGAGCTATTTCCATTCAGGGACATCAAGCTGCCGCTTGATGGGTTAGACAATACTCAATGGTAACAGCAAGCAAATCTTAACATTATTGTACAAATGAGACAGCTTTGGCATGGTTTTGCCACCATATTGATATTGTAATTGTGATTAATTATTGGTGCAAGCTGGAGTTTGTTGTTCCCTGTTCTTTGATTTTCCCATTAACATATTTGTACCTGTAAATCTCCTGTGACTTTGCAATGCTGAGTCAAGATCAACTACAGCATTGTCACCAAGCAGAGAGCACTGAAACAATGGGAGTAAGGGCCAGATGGTAAGATGCAAATAATGGGCGAAGAAGGAAGTTCATTGGGTGGGAGAAGTGATGCATAGAGGACAGAGGAAGGAAGAGAATGTAAAAGAAACAGATCGAAAAAGGGAATGGCAACAAAGGATGGGTTACTGGGATAGAAGAGAAAAATGGGGAAGGGGGCTTTCAGAGGGAGAAAGAAGAAAGATGAGAGGGTGAAGGGGTTGGAGAGGAGGAAAGAATGAGGAAGGGAATGATGACAGAAGTGAAGTAAGCTACCACAGCAGAGAACTAACCTACATTATCTTCTCACAATGGGACTGGCGGATGGGAGTGGAGGTATGGAGGTAGTGAGTGAGCAAAACTATTGCTTTATTTTACAATTTCCTGGATAGGAATGATGTGCAAGACAGGGCGGTCTGGTAGAAAGTAGAAGGTATTCAATGATGGAAAACCAAAAACATCAGAAATGTCTACAATAGTCCTCGCTTGAGATTCTAAGTAATTTTAATTTGTATCCAAAAATTGCTTTTTTTAAACCACATGTTACTATAGAGTACTGAACAAGGGAGTTAGCAGTTTGTATCTCCACCTACAGACATATTTGGAACACTGTTTCACAAGAATTTCTTCATTGACAATGGCTGTCATTAAGATTTCAACACATTTTGGTAGAGTGTCATAGAATTCCATACATGAAGATTCAACAATTTAAAACAATATCAGCCCCTAAACTTAAAAGACAATTTGACTTTCCGACAGACTCAAATGGAAGGATGTTTTATTGCTCTCAATTTTCTGAGACATCACCTCAAGTGGGAGTTTGGAAAGGTCCAGTGATTGCAATTGCAATGGGAATATTGACCAGCGTAAAGGAATGCACATTTTTAAGCCTTTGGATCACCTCAGAAACACACAGCAGCCTTTATAAACTCGAGATGAGTGGCGGTGCAGATTGGGGAACAACTGACAAAAATGGGCAGTGAACACTGGGTTGTAAACACAAGTTCCCAATAAAATGACTGAATTTCAGACCACATGAAGCCCAGTCTAATTGGTACTGAAAGCAGAAGCCATGTTATATGAGGTGCTCAAGAGGAGGCTGAACATCTGCAAGGAGACTCATTGACGTTTCAGCTCACAGTTGGCCGTTAGTGTTATGGGAGTGCCAAGCCAATGCTGAATAGAAACTGTACTTGTCTTTGCAGAAAATTTTACATATCTGAGCCTGGCACTCTGCAGATAATAACCTACCTTCACTATCAGGTGGTTGCGCCAGGATTAATTGTATGGATGTGAACGGTGTGGTGAGTCTTCTTTCATTCAATGCTACCAAAAGCAAGATGCATTATAATTGGGTTCTTTTTTGAAAGGTCTTTGGTTCTTTATTATGATATTCATGTTACTTAATTCAAATTATGTTTTCATTCATATTTCTTAGTGCAGAATAATTAATTCTTTCAGTCTTACACAAGAATAGAAATTACTTGAGGTTTATGAGAAAATGTATGCCATGTTATAACGAAACATACTTGCTGCAAGTTAATTGCTGGTAAATGTCTGACACTTGCACTAAATGCCAATCGTCAATGCTTGTGTAATTTCAGCACATTCGCAGCACAACAGAAAAACATTAATGCTAAAGCTTTCATTAAGTGTGATACCTTGCATTTTAAATTCAGAATAATGGCAAGAATTAGCTACCAAAATAGCAATGAGTTTAATTGTGCTTGCTGTTATTAATGTGTAAATCCCACAACTTGTGCTAAGGATGCGATACACCATGCACTGTGAATCACTATCGTTTACAATCTGCACCACAGCTGTTATCCTCGAGCGAATGACTGTTCATTCTCAATTATCCCATGGTTTCAAGAATTTGATAATAAACTCAGTCCAGAAAGTTAAGGCTGGTACTTAACAGTTTCAGAAAATTTTTACTGAGATTTATTTTCCAGAAGGAATCAAACTTTGGAGCCCCGTTCCTACAGGTAGTAAATTCTAAGACATTTTTAAGGTTTAAATTGTTACTTCCTGGTCTTTCTTTTTCTTTTAACCCTATCATCCTCTCTTTCTCCTTATTTCTCTTTCTGTATCTGATTTGATTCTAGTTTAGAAAACACTGGTGATACTCAGCAAGTGGGTAGTTGTGGGAAGAAACATTTCGTCGAAACTGGGAAAAGTTTTTCTTTTGTGCAACAAACACTTATTTGTGAAGACATTTTTCCATTAAAATTTTAGTATGACTATCCCTTCCCAGTTCTCCTTATTTCTCCGTGTCACCTTATTTTATTGTACAAACATGGAGAACTATCTGCCTTGTAAAGGATTATCTTTTTCTGAGCAGCTTTGTTGAAATTGGAGGTGAATTTAGTGTCTACATGAGAGTGTTGAGTTATCTGGCTTTATTTGCAAACCAGCCTGTGATTTTTCTCACATAGTACATAAGGGCAGCAGATGCATGGTTACATCAACAGCCACAAGTTCCCCTCCAAGCCCCTCACAACGCTGACTTGGTATATGTGTCACTGTTCATTCAAAAAGGGTCCAAATCCTGGAATTCCCTTCTTATTTACACTGTGGTTATCTCTATACTCCAAAGGCAGCAGTGATTCAAGAAGACAGCTTACCACCACCACTTTCTCCAGGGCAATTAGGAATGGGCAGTAAATTCTGACCCAGCCAGTGATGCCCACATCTCATGAACAAATAATATCAAGCAAAATGAGTAGGCCACAAGTGAACTTCAGGCAAAATTAATTTCTTATGGTGGCTGACAATTCAGTGCCTTTGCACCAGAATTTAAATTAAATTATCTAAGAATAAATTTAAGAATGAGAAAATGCAATTTATACATTTGAAGACTTTTTTTGATCCCTTCACATGAATATGAAAAAATCTGGCTCTCTTTTGGAAGTTTCCAATGTCTAGTTTGAGGCACTATTCCAACGATTTATTTTGCTTTGAGTAAAGCCACCTTGGTATAAAACAATTCCACAGTAATTTAAATGTACCTTCTTCACTTTTATTTCTCTAGCTTAATTTAAGATAATAACGATTTTACTCTAGCCAAGCTACTTACTATCTCATGTACCTCTCTAAGATGTATCCTTTATCCTTATCTCTAGACCAAAGAATCTAAGGCTGTCAAATATTTCTTTATACTCAGGACTGGCATTACTAATCTTCTCTGCTCTCTTTCTAACTCATCTAATTATTTGGTGCAAAATTGAACATAATACTCAAAATATGGTCTGGACAGTGTATTGCATAATTTGCTAAGACTAAAAAATCCTACTGTCTTGTCACATTGATGAGTTTGCTATCAAATCCATTTCTGAGTCTCCCTCTGAAATTTCAGCGTCTTTTGTTCAATACATATTGAGATTAACATGGAGAAAATAATATTTATCAGTAGTTCATGTAAAAGCTCATTAAAATCAGTACATTAAAATTTATGTCTCCATGTTGACATAATGTTCCACTTTGACAGGCAGTATATCAAAGACATTTGAAACCCTGACTGATAGCAGTCGATGACTCAATCCATTGAAAGCAGCTCCGTCCTTTTTGACACAATTGTGCAGTAATTCTGTACTAATTAGCTGAACAGCTGGACATTATTTGGCTGAAGGTGACTTTGATGGTTGCTTTACTTTCAAGTGAACTGTGGATTTAATTGCGTTTGATGTCAACATGTGGTGAAGTGCTGAGTGAGCTCTTTCAGCCCAAATGATATAATCTCGCAGGACAGCAATGAACAGCATTCTGAATGGTAATAGATCATTCAATAACTGATTGTGCATTATGCTTAATCAAATTACAACAGCAAAAATGTTGCATTCCCTGCTCCTCTCATGGTAGGATAAGATTCAAAGCACTCGGTCCAGCAGTGTAGAAGCTGAATTTCAATCCTTGGGAAAACTTGTTAAACCGATGCCTTATGTTCAATTTTGAGGAAAATGTCAACCGTGGAGAAGGCTGAACATAATTATCTACACACTATATTTAATAATTTAAAACAAAATGCAGAGTAACTTAATAGGTCACGTTAACATAAAAAAACCTAGAGATTATTAGCGTGACTTGAGACTTCATTACGGTGTCATAAAATTGGAAGAGAATCTTCACAAGATACCTGAAAATAACAGAAATAATTGCATTGATTAACTTTTTCAGAGTTATCAAACTCAAATAATCTTACTATTCAATCTTAGTTTGAGCTCTAATTTTATTAAAATGTTTTTTTTACTGAATTCAACTTATTTCGTTCAATTTTTCCAGGTGCAAAAGCAAAACTCCTGCAACATATGTCAGGTATTTATTGTCGTAGAAAAACATGATCTGGGAAGTACAGGAACAATATGGGGGACAACAGACTTAACAACTGTGACTACACTTCACACATACATCCTAAGTGCTTTGGGAGGTCCTAAAGCCATGAATAGGTGCTGTATAGATTGAAGTTCTTTATTTTCTTTCTTTTATATGTGAAGTTTTAGGGTTTACCTTTAACCACGTTTTGAGAGACGTAGCATAAGAATTTATTTAGTTTGGATTGTACGGATATTTTTGATCATTAACGATTACAAAGCAATGCTGTAGCAAACAGGAACAGCAAAAGCTGCATACATTGTTTAAAGGTGGCATGTGAAAGGGCATTTATACATTTTATTGCACTTCCAGGTGGGGAAAAAATACCATGGATTTGTCAAAGGTTAAGCTGGGCTTCCAAATCATATACGCATTCATTTCTTTTTCAAGTATATCTTCTCTTCATGTCTCATTGAATATGTGAGTTAGGCTAGTTTAATGTGATTGACCAAGAATGAGCTCCAAATTGCATTCGTGCATGCTTTGAATCACAAGATTTAAGAGTATTTTCAAATTTAACATATTCTAACATATTTGAGTTTTGGTGAGATATATTGAATAAGTAATCACTCAAACTTTTGATGTTGAATCAGTGCATTGGAAAGCACATTATAAAACAGAATTCCAAACTCTGGCTAGGTTAGAAGCTCAGTTTCAGGCTAAGAAATGTTCAAATCAAGGTATTTAAAAACATTGTGTTTATTTTGTTTATTTTTTTCAACCAAAGCCAGAGTTCGGAATAAATACTTCAAAAGTCTGCCAGAGTGATAGCACCCTCAGTTCTTTGTTTTATTTCAAAACGTTGATTGCCAAAATAAAAATTCCAACTTTGAACTCAAGGCTCTGAAACATGAATATTGAATTCAGTGCAGGACTCTTATCATAGTTTAGGATGAAGTAAAAGTCCTTAGTCTGTGTATCTTTGACTCACACACACTGGAATTCACATCGAGACTACATGAGCCCATCTTATTCTTGACCATCAATATCTGTCAGAACAAAGTCCCTCATTATTGACTTGAACATTCATACCTTTACTTGAGATTTGTGGTTCTTAAGCCAAAATGTTATTTCATAGAATCCTGACAGTATGGAAACAGACCATTTGGCCCGACAAGTCCACACCGACTCTCTGGAGAGCATCCCACACAGACACATCCCCCAACCTTATCCCTGTAATTCCCATGGCTATGCTGCTGATCCCTGGACACTACGGATGATTTAGCATGGCCAATCCACCTAGCCTGCACATCTTTGGACTGCGGGAGGAAACCAGAGCACCCGGAGGAAACCGACGCAGACATAGGGAGGATGTGCAAACTCCACACAGACAGTCACCCAACGGTGGAATCAAACCCAGGTCCCTGGTGTTGTGAGGCAGCAGTGCTAACCACTGAGCCACCGTGCCATCCTTTAAGCTGCTCCACATGAGGCTTGAACTCACAACTTCAGCATTTCACGCGCTTCTGTAATGTCATATAAGTACCGCATGCGAACCGATTGTGCCACTGGAGCCACGTCAGAAGTGGTAAATGAAATATTTTCTGATTTGAAATTCCCAGCATAATATCAAGCTATTAGATGGTTAGCAACCATGTAAAACATCCTGTAGTCCACCTAACAATGTCTCTGACTCAAGCCTCGGAGTAGCAATCCCTAATATGCCTGTGCAAATATTACATTTCACATACTAGCCAGCTCTGGCCTTTCTGAGTGAGATTATAAATTAGAGCCAATGTGTACGGTTAGGTTTTAATCATTTTGAAGCTGGATTGAGACAATCAGATTGACGTCAAATAGAAACTCTTCAGCCAACACAGAAAAGGGTCAAAAAGAGTCTCCAAACAAGATCCCAGAAACTAAAGACTGTTATAAAAGCATACATTGTAATCCCTAAAAAAATTGAAAACTATAAATTTGGCTTTGACTGCGCAAATTAATGAGAGATGTTTATGTTATTCTGAGATCTCTATGTTGCCGCATTTACTTGAATCTATAACTGTAAACAAGCATGAATGCAATGATTATTTACTCCAGATTCAATTACACTATGTCAACACCAACTAGATTGCACCAGGTTTTACTTAAACTTGGACTATTCTCCATTAATATTTGTTGATAATAAAGCTACAGTGTACTTTGTACTTTACTGTGAAGTTTAGTTTATTTTGTTGACTGAAGCTAGAGTTTAAAATAAGTACTTCATAAGTCTGACCAGAGTAATAAGCACAAAAATGCAACAAAGGTAACGTGTTGAGCAGACAAGTGCAGGATAATGGGCACCAGAGCTTCAGGGCTGAGTATTCTGATTAGGTTTAATTTACAGTCCTTTTGCAAAGTTGCTGCTTAATCAGTTCTTCATATTTACTTGATGCATTGCATAGTTCTGAAAGAATTTAAACATTGTTTAAAAACAAGTAAAATTGAATTATAAGCGGAGTAAATAAACTAGTGGAACATGATCTCTCATTCAAATGAGGAACACAGGAAATCAAATGTGGGCAAAAACTAACTACTAGTAGCTGTTCTCAAAGCAATCAACATGAAGTTAAAGCAAAATTGTATCATTTAATTTCTGTAAAACATTTTTATTTTTCAGATGTAAACACAACATCGAGTTGCTATCATCTCAAATGCCTAAAGTTATGCTGAAGTGAAACCCAGAAAAAAACAAAAGCGTTTAAAATAAACCAAAAATGAAGGAACATAAGAACATAAGAATAGGATCAAAAGAGGTTCACTACCACCTTCTCAAGGGCAATTAGGGATGAGCAACAAATTCTGAGCCTGCCAGCAATGCTGATATCCCACGATAAAAAAACAGTTTCATAGGAACAGAGTAACATAGAAAATAGGAACGGGTATAGGCCATTCGGTCCTTTGAGCCTGCTCTATCAGTCAACATGATCACGGCTGATCATCCAACTCAGTATCCTTTTCCCCATTTCTCCCCATATCCTTTGTTCCATTTAGTCCCAAGAACTATATCTAACTCCTTTTTGAAAACACTCAATGTTTTGGCCACAACTACTTTCTGTGCCAGAAAATTCCTCAGACACTGGTTGAAGAAATTTCTCCTCACCCCATTCCTAAATGATCTACCCTTGTGGTCGGCTGTGATCCCTGGTTCTGGATTCCCTGTTCATCAAGAACAACATTCCTATGTTTACCCTGTCTAGTCCTGTTAGAATTTTATGGGTTTCTATGAGATGCCCCCTCATTCTTCTAAACTCCTGTAAATATAGTGCTGACTGATTAAGTCTTTCTTCATACATTTAAACACAGACATCTAATGGCAGTTCGTACATTATTGCGGACTTACCAGCTAAGAAATAGTATTCATTCACGGGCAGCTTCAAGCTACCATTTACAAGTGAGTTAAATTTAAACTTCCTCAAGATGAGGAATAGATATTTAATGAGGGAAAGCAACATTTTTCGATTTCTTCACTGTAGCACGAAAATATACCCTCACATCAACCTCATATCCATCACACCTAAACACATCCATTTTACTTCAGGGAGTTATTCTTTCAGACAACTAACTTCATACCAAGTGCTGATATGAAAGAGGGCTTATGCTGTGGACTAGCGTTGATTAGTGAATGGGTTAAGATTGTCCAAAATCAATTCATTTCAACTCATCTGAGATTTCATCCTGAGTATAAAGGGCCAGATTCAGATTCAAATTCGAGATGCTTGAAGAGATGTAACCCATGGAGTTGCCCAGTGTATAATTTGTTTCACCACACAGTATACCATTCAGGAATAGGATATTGCTAGTTTCTGCATGTCTCTGGCACTCAGATGGTGTTGTTGAGCAGTTAAAATTCTGAACTTACAGAAAATGCCTCCCACCTCAGCGCAGTTCACACCTCCACTCTTGGATCAGTGAACCCGTTCTTTCCTTCATTTATTAGAACTGGTTTTTCGGTCCGTGTGTGCCACACAAGGATCTGTAAAATAAAGCAATGACAATGTGAACACACTACTGTGTACAGTGGGAAACTAGTAAGATACAGAAGGATTACTTAACTGGGAGAGGTTCCTGTCATTTAGTCTTGGACTAGACACTTAGGGTATTTCAATGATCTGTCCTTCTAAACCTATTCTTTGTGCATTATCTGTGTCTGACAATGTAGAAACAAGTATTATTAATATGATTAAAGATCACCTTGGCCAATGATAATCCCATTGCCAGCTCCAACTGTATTGTGTTCATTTAGATTTTAATTTGGTAGAAGATGGCATACAAGTTACTTGAATGAGCATCTGAACACATTTACGTAACATATCTTGTGTGCTAATGTTTCAAAATGCATTTTGACTTTTGCATCAAAAAGATGCAAGTCATACAAATTCACATACTAATGGATCATATATAGTGTGCCATAGCTGCAGGCAAGCATTAAAACGTGAAACAAAACCCACTGCTGTTAAATAATTCCGTTCTTTTTAAGAAATTGTGCTTTATTTCATAGTTTGGGGAAAAGACAATTAATATTTTTATCATTCAAGCTGTTTAAAGCTGTTGTCCTGAATGTCTTTTGCATTGTGTTAAATTTATTTAATGTATACCTGATTCGTTTTTGACATAAGTTATTGGCATATCATGACTTCTTTCCTCTTTCAAGTAATGAGAACATTGCATCCAGTAACTTGCATAAAATCTAGACCCATGGACCCATGGACAGGCCATTCAGCCCCTCCAGCCTGTTTCTTCATTCATTTGGATCATGGTTGATCTAAATTTCAACTACACCCACCTGCTTAAGAACCAGATTCCTTGATTATTTTTACTGAAAGAAATGTCTGTCTTATTAGTTTAACTTTTGATTGGCCCAGCGGTTACAATCTTTTGAGTAAAAAAGTTCCAAATTTTCACTACACTTCTGTGCAAAAGTGTTTCCGGATTTCATTCCTTTATGTACTAGCTCCAATGTTAACAATTATGAACATATGTTCTGAAATTCCCCACCAGTGGAATTGTTTCTCAGCAGCTACCATTAAAATGCCAATGTCATTTCAAACAACTTGATTAGATCAGCTTCACCATTCTAAACTCAAGGGATTAAAAGTAATTATACTTTGTAATTTAACCCCTAGCATCATTCTGATGAATCTGATCCTTCCGTTGCCAGGATATTCTTCCAGAGATCTGGTGCTAAGACTCAACATGCTATTGTCAGGTTTTGTCTAGCCAAGATTCTGCATTACCGAGACATTACTTCTTTCCCTTGAGACAAAGCCCCATATACTGTTAGCTTTTTGATTACTTTCTGAACCTGTATACTATTTTGTAATGGTTTAAAAATATAAATCACTTCTTGTTTTTGCATCCTCTTATTTCTAACCGCTAAGAAAATATTTCATGTTTTTCTACTTCCTCACAGTCAAAGGTGATTCTCTCATAGTTCATATTGAACTCCTTCACCATACTCATGCCCAGCCTCTTAGTCGATCTATGGGGCTTTTGTAACATCTTATTCTAACTTTACAGATTGTTGTGCTTCCCAAACTGGTGTCTTTTGCACATTTGGATGTATTATTCTCTATTCTTCCAGGCAAGCCATGAACATATCAAATGAAAGGCTGCAGCACGAGGATAGATTTCTGTTGAACACCACTTGACATATCCATCCAATCAGTAACCATTTCCTTTTATTGCTTTCCCTATATTGTAACCCATTTCTTCCAGGAGCAGAATATTGCAGAGCTGGCAGGGGGTCACACTGAGAGAAGAAGCCCATCCAGCTGTAGATGGGTCCTCAGGCCAGATTTTGCCAGAATTGGCTGTAGCCAGGGCTGATGTGCCTATTAAGGACAATGGCCCAAACCTAAGAGGTGCCTGCGAAAACAGAGTCCTGTTTTAGCAACCATCTTAGCAGCACCTTTGCTAATACTAGTGGGATTGGTAAGGATGAAGCCACATCAATGTCTGTGAGCCTTCAAAGTCACGTAACTAGAGTCTAGGGATGCAGGGGCTGGGCCCAAACAAGCAGACACTCGGGATAAAAGGGTTTGATTTAAGATAGGCAGAGTTATTCCCATGAGCTGTGGCCGCTTCTGCTTCTGCTGGGATTCCCTATGTGAGCCAGAGAGTGCTGAAAAGGAGGCCCTTCCTGTCATTGGCATAATGCCAGAAGTGGTAGGAAGAGACTAATTGGTCTCCTATTGAGTTACTCATCTGCCATCTTTCCCGTAATTGGTGAAATGTCTCAGTAGTGGGATTCCCTAATGCCTAACTGTACCATTTTGCCATCTCACCTCCCAGCCTTTTGCCAGCAGGCCTGGAAAATCCCGGACTTGAAGTTAAGCATGAATTTAGAATTTGTAAATGAACTGGTTTATTTATTTATGGAGATTGATCTCCATATTGTAAACATGCACTCCCCCACCGCCTCCAAATTCATACTGGTCCTTTTAGATTTTTGAGAAGAAAGGACACAGATTCGTCACATCTGTCCTTACCAAGAAAAAGTATCCCTATCTGGGGACTCAAAATAGCACACATGAATTGCACAACTAAAAGTAGCCAAGAGAGACCAGTTGGGGCAAATGGTCTGTTTCTGTGTTGTAAGTAGTTCAGGGAGATGGATACTGATCTGTACCCCTCGCTAATTGACCACTTTCAAGGACAATCCTGAGTTAGCACTGTCCTTCCTGTAGCAGTCTCAGTACAGTTCTCAATGTAATCCATAATAGACTAATTCCAGTTGTAAGGGGAAATATCATAAGGACAAGTTACTATTTGATTCACAGAACCTTTCGTAAGAAACTGATATAAGTCCACCACTGCAACAATGGAATGGTACACTGTTTGTATATGACTGCTATAAGATAGAGTATACAACACAGAAACAGACCATTTGCCTCAACTGGTCTCTGTTGGCGTTTATGCTTTTATGTCCCATAAGTCATTAAGTTTGGTATGCAGAAATACTTGCAAATATCCAAGACTCAAATAATTAAATCAAATGAATTTTGATGTGCAGATTCCACCTGACCTCTACCTTTGGTTAATACATGATACATAATCATTTCCTTGAGTGTGTCTAGAACTTAACTGCAGATTTCTTTTATTCTTCTTGTGAATGGATTGTGAATGCTGGTAGAGCCACTATCTCTTCCCCATCACTAATTTCCCTTAAGAAGCTAGTGATAGCTGTCTCCTTGAACAACTGTACTGCATCAGATGCAGATACACCAACAGTATGGTTAGAAAGGGAGATGCAGCATTTTGATCCAGCAACAGTGAAGGAATGACTACATAGTGTCATGTATTGATACGAACATGCAAACAAGGAACGAATAGGCCACTCGGCCCTTCGAGCCTGTTCCACCATTCAATAAGATCACGGCTGATCCGATTTTAAAATCAACTCTTGCATCCCAATTCCTGCCTATCCTCAATAACCTTTCAATCTTTTGATAATCAAGCATCTATCTACCTATGCCTTAAAAAATATTTAAAGATTCTGCACTCTTTGCCTTCTGGAGAAGGGAACTACAAAGATTCACAATCCTCAAAGAGGATTTTTTTCCCCTCATCTCTGTCTTCAATGGACAACGCCATACTTGTAAACTATGTCTTCGAGTTCTAGATTCTCTCACAAAAGAAAACATCCTTTCCACATCCACCTGGTCCAGTCCCTTCAGGTTCTTAAATGTTTCAATTAAGTCATCTCTGACTCTTCTAAATGCTAGATAATATGAACAAAGATTATCTGTGGCTTTGAGGGAAAATTGCAGCTGGTTGTGTTCCCATGCATCTACTGACCTAGTCATTCTGGTTATTTAGTTTCATGCGTTTGGAAGGTAATAATGAAGGAGGCCTGGCAAGTAACTAAAGGGCATCTCCTAGATGGTACACAATACTTTACTGTGTGGAGGGAGTGAATGTTTAAGATGGTGGTGGGACGCTGCTAAAACTAGTTGTTTTGTCTTGGATTTTGTCAAGTTTTCTGAGTGTTGTGGGAGCTGCATTTATCCAAACATGTAGAATATTCCATCAGCTCCTGACTTCTGACTTGTAGATGGTGACAGACATCAAGGAGTCAGGAGGTGAGATATTCATGGCAGCATTCGTAGTCTCTCACTTGGTCTTGTTCCTACACTATTTATATGGTTGGTCCAGTTGAGTTGCTGGTCAATGGTAGCACACAGGATGTTGATAGTGGGTAATTTAATGATAGTAATGCCACTGAATGTCAATTGGAAATTGTTAGTTTTTCTCTCTTGTTGGAGGTGGTTGTTGTTGGTATTCGTATGGTGCAAGTGATATGTACCACTTATCAGCCCAAGTCATGTGTTATCCAAGTCTTGTTGTTTATGGATACGGACTGCTTCAGTATTCGATGAGTCATGAATGGTGGCAAAACATTGTGCGATTATCAGCCAACATCCCTCTTATGATGGAGGGAAAATAGAGCAGCTAAAGATGTTTGTCCCTGAGGAACTCCTGTAGTTATGTCCTAGGACTGAGATGATTGGCCTCCAATAACCACAATTACCTTCCATTGTGCTAGACATGATGACAATCAGTGGCAAGCTTTCCTGATAATCCATATTGGCCAAACTTTTGCTCAGGTTTGTTGATATGACACTTGGCAGCTCCCACAACACTCAGAAAACTTGACAAAATCCAAAACAAAACAACTAGTTTTAGTAGCATCCCACCACCATCTTAAACATTCACTCCCTCCACACAGTAAAGTATTATGTACCATCTAGGAGATGCCCCTTAGGTTTGTTGATATGACACTTGGCCAAATGCTACTTTGATGCTAAGTGTTGTCAGTCTCACCTCAACTGAAGAATTCTGCTCTTTCTTTCATTTTTTTTTGGACCAAGTCTGTAATGAGGTCAGGAACTGATTGTTCGTTGTGGAACCCAAACTGAGCATCAACGAGCATGTTATTGCTGCATAAATGCCATTTGGTTGTCTTATCAACAACACCTGCCTTGACTTTGCTGCTGATCTCGAGGTGAATATTGGACTAATATTTAGCTGCACTGGCTTTTTCCTGTTTGTTATAGAGAGGATATACCTGGGTAATTTTCCACATTGCCAGGTAAAGGCTTATACTGTACAGGTACTAGAAAAACCTAGCTAAGCTTGTGACAATTTCGACAGCATAAGTCTTTGGGACACTGTTAGGATGTTATCAGGGTCCATAGGTTTTGTGGTGGTTGTAAATGCTTCAGCCTTATCTTCTGCTCTGATGTGCTGGGCTCCACCATCATTGTGGATTGGGATATTTGTGGAGCCTTTCCCTCTGGTTAGTTGCTTAATTGTCCACCACAATTCAGGGCAGGACTGCAGAGTTTTTGTATGTTCCTTTGTTTGTGGAATCATTTAGCCCTGTCTGTCACATGCTTCTTCCTTTGTTTGATCTGCCAGTAGTCCTGCGCTGTAGCTTCATCAGGTTGGCAACTCTTTTGCTAGGCTTGGTACCGTGCCTGGCATACTCTGCTACATTCTTTAGTGAAACAAGGTTGATCCCTTGGCTTGGCAGCAATCATAAGATGCTCAGAAATACTAACAAATACAGACCGACTGGTCCCTTGAGCCTACTGCAATGTTTAACAAGATTGTGGTTATCAGATTGTGTTCTTAACTCCACTTTCCTGCCCATCCTTAAAACCTTTGAGTATTTCATCAATCAGAAATCAAGCTTGAACATTTTGTTAATGATTCTGCATCCACCGCTCTCTGTAGAAGAAAATTCCAAAGATATTCTGAGAGAAGAAATTTCTCCTGATCTCTATCTCAGACACCTCTTTCTTTCAATCTGTGGTCTCCAGTTCTAATTCCTCATCAAAAGGCAAAACAAACATCCTTTCAGCATATAGCCTGTAAAGTTACCTCAGAATCTCTTTTGTTTCAGTACAATTGTCTTTCATTCTTTTAAAGTCCAGTGAACATAAGTCTAAACCACTCAATGTTTCCTCATAAAACAACCCTTTCAGCTCAACAACTCAACCAATTTTGTGAACCTTCTGAACTGCTTCTAATATAAATATATCCTTTCCTTAGTTTGCTACAAATGGTGCATCTTTCTCATAGATTTGGCAATAAAATATGCAATTGTTAAGAACTGCAAAATATTTCTTTAAACGTTTTCCACTGTTTCTGTACAACATACAAACATACAAATGCACAAATTAAGAACAAGAGTAGACCATTCAGCCCCTTGTGCCTGCTCTGCCAATCTAAAAGATGACGGCAGATCTGATCACTTTATCTTTTAATCTGTAATTTGAGTCCACTTGAGCCAAACCCACCCATATATCCTTGTAATTGCCTTAATTTAAGCTTAATACACTAGTGTTATACCACCATTTCTCATCCTAACACAGTGTGTGAAGTTCTATCGCAATATGACTTTCTCAATTTTATGTGGGATCATTAATTAATCTTACCTCATTACATATTTGAAGGTGTAAAATGAAACATTCAGTTGGTTGTTCCAGCATATATTGTTATAAATATTATTTCAAATACCCTCTATGAACTCTTCCTCCATACTAGCTTTGTCAATTTTAATTTGTCCAATCTATGTGAAGATTGAAATTATCTATGATTATTGCAGCACATTTCTTACAAGCCCCATTGTTTCTCGATCCTATAATGAAGCTACTATTCAAGGGCCTATAAAAAGCTACTCTCAATTATTTAATGGGAAGTCACATGACACCAGGTTATAGTCCAACAGGTTTACTTAAAATCACAAGCTTTCAAAGCACTGCTCCTTCATCAGGTCTTCACTTGACGAAGGGGCAGCGCTCTGACAGTTTGTGATTTTAAATAGACCTGTTGGATTATAAGCTGGTGTCATGTGATTTCTGACTTTGTCCACCCCAGTCCAACACTGGCACCTCCACATCTCAGTTATTTATTTCAATTTCACCTGATGTCATCATTTATTATTAGAGCTACCATACCACATTTCATGTTTTTCCCTGTCCTTCTGAAATGTCAGATCCCAGTTATTAGCCTTGGTCACCTGTAACTACGTCATGCTAGAAAATGAGGTTACAGGTTGTGGTTGAACAAAATTCTGTTACTACGGATGGCCGATAATGATTCATGGATGCTCAGTTTTGATTTGCTGTATTTATTCTGAATCTATTTCATTTAGCATAGCGGTGTTACCACTGAACACAATGTTGTGTGTTCACACTGTAGAGACATGGTTCCATCTCCACAAAGACTATGCGGCAATCATTCCTACCAATACTGTTATGGGCTATTGCATTTCCTACAGGTAGACAAGTGAGGATAAGATCTACCAACGTTTTCTTCTTGTTGTTTTCATTACCACCTACCACAGACCCAATTTATTCTTCAGGATTCAGCTAGTGTTGCTACTGAGTCACTGTTAGTGACAGACATTAACTCCCACACCTACAACACATGCTGTTCCTTTGCCAACCTCAGTGCTTCTTTCAAGTGATTTTCAACATGGAGGCTTACTGATGGTAATCATCAGGAGGTCCCTTTCCCCACGATGGTCAGATGCTGGGGTCTAGCTCCAATTTTGAGGACCCCAGCACAACCTCCCCGTGATAGTATACTACCATACCGTCATTTCTGGTGGGTCTGTATTAAGGTGGATTCTGGAACACTGGCTGTAAGAAATGATTCTGTGAGAATGACTATGTCAGGTTGTTGTTGGTCTGGTCTGTAAGACAGCTGTCCCAATTTCAGCACAAAACCCCAGATAACAGTAAGGAGTACTTTGCAGGTTTGACAGGGCTGTGTTTGCCATTGTCATTGCTGGTGTCTAGGCCAATGCTAGGTGGTCCATCTGGTTACATCCATCTTCAACTTTTCTATTGGTGTTTGGTACCACAGTGTGGTTTGCTGGGGCATTTCACTCGGTAGTTAAATGCCATCTACATTGCAATGGGTCTGGAGTCAGATCTAGGTCAGATGTGATAAGGGAAGCTGATTATCTTCCTTAGAGGACAACAGTGAACCCTATCAGTCTTCATATAAAAATCAATGATAGTAGCATGATCAGCATAACTGAAACTAGCTTTCAGTTGCATATTTTGTTTTCCTTCATTCATTCATGGGATGTAGGTGTCACTACTGAGGTTAGCATTTGAGGCCCACCTTGAATTGATCTTGAGAGCAATTAAGCAATTAAAGTGACCTGGAAAAGAAGCAAGGGTGAAGTGAGGACACGTTTTCACACTTTGAGCTGTTAAGGTTTGGAAATGCACTCCCTGGGCACGTCATGAAGGCAGGGTTCAATTGAGGCATGCTAGAGTGCATCAGACAATTATCTGGATAAAAATAATGGGTATGAGGAAAAGCAACAAATGGGAACTAGGTAACGATGCCCATGCAATGTGCTGGTGTGGAAATGATGAGCTGATTGGCCTTCTTCTGCACTCTAACACTTGTATGATTCTGTGAAGTGTCAATCACATTGCTTTGGATAAGGAGTCACATGTAGACAAAGAATACAGATTTCCTTCTCTAAAGGACAGCAGTGAACCAGATGGGTTTTTACAATAATTGATCATAGTTTTACAGTCACCATTAATGCAATTAACTTTATACCTCATATTTACTAATCAAGTTTAAATTCCACCAGTTGCTGTAGTATTTGAATCCATGTCCCCAGAGCATTTATCTGAATTACTACCCCAATGATGATATGACTGTAGTGTCTCCCTCTGCATTCTGAAGCTCATTTTAGAGATGAGAATGCCTTGTGGCTGACTGCTGGGAAATAAGGCTATGCCTTCCAACCACAAAGCATGACCATTTCCATAACATGCATTCTAGGCTGGGTCAAAATTCAGTGAGGACATTGTCAAAACTAAGTCCACTTCCACAGCCAGTATCTCATTTTATGTGGGTATTGTATGCACCAGTTAATCGTTGTTAAAGCCACTTCAGAAGAGTGGAACTGTTATTATCTTTGTATTGACTATTACATTGACAACTGTGACCAGCACAATGATGGAAAGCTAACATTGGGACACACTTGGGATTGCAAGAGACAGATGTTTTCAACAATGGAAAGCAAAGCCTAAAGGGTTTTGTTACATTCAAGTACCAAACACATTGATCATATCACTGGCAGTATTCCTGGTGTAATGGGAGGCAAATATCTCTCACACTTCATTTCAATTTTTCCCTAGAATATTTACTTTGACTGAAATCCTGCAGTGGAAGTGACCAATAATGCCTATTTCCCTCAATGTATAATATATTGATCCTAATTTATAGATTGATACACAACCTACAGGTTTGGTTGAGTAAAAGTAAACTCTCTGTGTTAATCAAGTCCCAACCAGAAGGTTACTCTACTTTAGTGCAATTTGAAGCTTTAGGTTCCAGCTCTTTTAAAGTTACGAGTTCCCGCAACAAGCTGGTTTCCTGGTATCCTCCCTTTACTCCGTAGAGCTGAAAGTTGGCTGAAGGTTTCATGAGTATCAACTTAACGTTGATTGCAAACCCTGCCATATCGATAGCAAATGGTCTATTTGGGTCAAAAACAGTTTTCCAACCGACGACTTTTCCTGCAGTGTTCACTTTGGGAGACTCGTAGAGCAGTCCACCAACGAAAGCTACAGGCCACACTGAAACCATTTTTGTGAATCGCATCTGAAAAATAGAAACGATGGGATGAATTATATAAACTTTGCAATAGATGTTTGTCCGGGCTGTGTGTCTTAATTAGAATTGATGAGATATTTCTACCTGCAAATGTAACATTAAAAGCAAGCAATTATTTGAATTTCACCAATGATTGGTTAGCATGTCTATTAACTTAGCAACAGGACTGACAATGACAATCTCAAAGTATACCCATCTCTGAGGCTTATGGCTATTTAGCTCCTTCTTGACTATTTCAAATCTTCCAATTATTCAAAGATTGTCTGGTGTGCTCTGTAACATCTTGTTCTCAAAAATACTGATTTCTGATAATCAATTCTGTCCAGACTTGACCTGATTCTAGCTTTTAGTGTCACTGTCAATAAGTAGCACCAAATCAATCTAATTATGTTTACATTATTTTCTCCAATTTATTTCCCTGAAGTTCACCCTCTGATATAAGCTATCTGCATTAGTGACAATAATTGGGTTAGATTAAAATAATTCCAAAGATATGTTTAATACTCAATCCCCAGAGCTAAAATTTAAGGCATGCTGCAGAATTCCTCCCCTCTACCTGTAAACTAACATTAATGAAACTTTTACTTCAGACACCCAAATACCAGCAAAGTTAAGAACTTATGTTCAGCTTTGTATTTAGTTAAGGACTTCTGTTCAATCTTCTATTTAAAACTGCAGCTTTGCAACCACCCTGCAGTAATGTTTAATTGATACTGTTTTTAATTAGCAAATTTTCAACTAACTTTACTAGCTTTACTGGTAGGAATAAACTAACAGTACCTGTTAAATGTTCATCATGACGTCACACAATCTATCATAAACATTATTTATGCAGTGACTGTGATAAACAAAGGCTGTAAAGTATTAGATCACTGCAGAGCATAACAGTTAAATGCTTATGCTTTGATATAAAGGGGAGCACCTCCTCAAAGAGTTCCAAACTGTAAGTGTTGTCATCATCAGCAAAGTAAACCACGCCCTCTGATGATTCATTAGGATTCAATTTGTCTCTCAACCAGCGCAGACCCAAATTTCTTTGCAAAGTGCCCCTTGGAGTGCGAGGAGATGATTTACTGAGGCCCATCTTCACACTTTTTGGGCTTTGTATGTTCAGGTGCGTGAAGTTCAATCCACTCTTTTCCAGCAGCAGTGCTACTAAACCGGTCCTCCGAGGGGAGTCCTCAACAACAATCCAGTGTAAGTTCTGTACATGGAGGAAAGTGTTAGCTAGCCTGGTCAGCTCTGCTTTCTGAACCGGTCTAGTATAGGTCGGTGTTATGACATAGATGGTTGGTAAGGACTGGGACCACTGTGGGGGTCTGCTATATATGTATTCCAGTTTGATGACCTGCTGAGTAAGTATTGCTTCCTGGTGCACACAGACACTTTGTTCCTCTTTGCTTTGAGAGCTGTTGGCGAGTATTCTTTTAGTTCCATTGTCAGGCTCCTCTGAAAAGGAAATGATTAGAGATATTCAAGTTATTGCTGAGGCCTTGTGTCTTTCAGTAAACAGCACCATTAATAGAAATGCAAAATGTTGTGGATGTAGGAGTTCTGAAAGGAAACAACTGTGGTGGAAAGAGCAGGTTAGATCACATCTGTGGAGACAGACAGAGATGATGTTTCAGGTCGAGATGACCTTTCATCAGAACTGAGGAAAGATAGAACATTAGTAGACTTGGAGTTGGTGGAAGGGAGGGAGCAGAGATCTGGAAGAACAAAAGAAAAGGTGTGTGATAGGGTGGCAAAAAGAAGAGATTAAATGACAAATGATTGCATGGTACAAACGCCAGTGAGTATTTGTTCATAGCTTTATTAATGGAATATCTTCCATTGGTCGGAGTTTAAGAAAGAAACTAAGGAAGCTAATCTGTCTCAAAACAAGAAAATGCTGGAGAAACTCAGCAGGTCTGGCAGTATCCATGAAGAGAGAAACAGAATTAACATTTCGAATCTGGTATGACTCATCTGCGGAAAGTTCTGAAGTATCAACTGTTTCTCTCCATACATGCTGCCAGACCTACTGAAGTCCTTCGGCATTTTCTGTTTTATTTCAGATCTCTAGCATCAACAGTATTTACTTCTTTTACAGATATTACCAAAGCAGATTCAAGTATGACCAGAAATATAGATTGTGTCCAAATCAATATGAACAGTGCCAAATCTGATATGTATAGCAGTAAACCAGGTATATATATATCAGCCATGCAGCATACTGATAGTATCAAACCAATTCTAAGACATGACCAGATAAAGATGAACAGAAATCTTGCCAAATGTGAGATCAATCAGGAAAAACCTGATGCAGTTAGAACATTACCAGATCGGAATAATACTGAATCAGATGTAGAGGTGGGGGGGCACAGATTCTTATTACCTTGCTCTTTATAAGCTTGCTAAGGCCTGAGGCAGTCCCTTTCCTGATGGTCTGTCAGTAATGCTACTCATGTGAATTTCCCAGAGCCAGCCAACTGAGAGGTTGCCTCTCGAAGCCCCATCAAATGAGGAAGAGTTGATGGCTCCACAGCAGGGAGGCCATTGTGGCTATCTGAATCTCGGGATGGCCAGAGGCCCACTGAGACAGTTGGGTACAGTTGATGGAGCAGGGAGACTCAAGATGGAATCATACACTGCAGATGTGAAAACAAATCAATAACAATAAACATATGCAGCTACCAAGCTAATGTTGTGGAGGGGAAATTGTACTGCAGATGCACTGGGGTCCACAAATGAGACCTCGATGGTGTGCTGGTTCGCTCCTGAGTGACCACTGCAGTGATCTGCTGGGATTTGGCCTCAGATAAAATCCAGCAGTGTTGCGAATCTGAGTCCACATGCCTATTTAATTGCCATTCATTAGCTACCCACTGCTGCTGAATGAGTATCTGGTACTAATGTGCCCAGTCTCTGGCAAGATCCTTTAAAGATAAGTTCACATTAGGCAACTGGCCCAACTACCTTTTTGCCAATTGGCGTCCTGTCTTTGAAACCGCTTCAGGATGATTCCATCCAGAAAGAGCCAAACATGATATGGGGATTATCAACCAGGTATAGATGCTATCATGCCTGATTTATAGGGTGGGATTAAATGTCCTGCTCGGAGGTAAATTCAAGGTTAACACTCGGGTAGGGGAGGCGCTGAACAATTGAGTGGGAACATATAGAGTGGACATCCTGCTGCTTTTGCACCTTCAATCCCTTCTGATTTACCAAAGGTAATGGTATTGACTAGTGGTCAGACACGCCCAACCTATAGACAAGCTGTGGGGTAAACACTGATGTGTTTGCCAGTGGCCTATTAAGGAGGTCCCTTTATGTGGAAGGGATCACAAGAGGTAAGGGACTTTTTAAAAAATTTACTCATAGGACAAGGGCAACGCTGGCTGGACAGCATTTATTGCCCATCCCTAGCTGCCCTTGAGAAGGTGGGAGTGAGCTGCCTTGAACTACTGCAGTCCACTTGGTGTAGGTTGATTAGCATTACCCTTAGGGAATTCCAGGATTTTGACCAAACACAGTTAAGAAGCAATGACATACTTCCATGTCAAGGATGGTGGGTGGCCTAGTGGGAATTTGCAGGTGGTGGTGTTCCTATGTATCTGCTGCCCTTGTCCTTCTAGATGGAAGTGGTCGTGGGTTTGGAAGGTGCTGCCTAATGATCTTTGGTGAATTTCTGCAGTGCATCTTCTAGATAGTACACACTGCTGCTACTGAGCATTGGTGGCAGAGGGAGTGGATGTTTGTGGTTATAGTGTCAATCAAGCGGGCTGCTTTGTCCTGGATGGTGTCAAGCTTCTTGAGTGTTGTTGAAGCTACACCAATCCAGACAAGTGGGGAGTGTTCCATCACACTCCTGACTTGTGCCTTGTAAATGACAGACAAACTCTGGGGAGTCAGGAAGTGAGTTACTTGCTGTAGTATTCCTAGCCTCTGGCCTGCTCTTATATCCACTATATTTATATAGCGAGTCCAGTTGAGTTTCTGGTCAATGGTATCCCCATGATGTCGATAGTGTGTGTTTCAGTGATGGTAACACCCTTGAATGTCAAGGCACAGTGGTCAGATTGTCTCTTACTGGAGATGGTCTTTGCCTGGCACCTGTGTGATGCAGATATTACTTGCGACTTGGCTACCCAATCCTGATTATTGTGCAGATCTTGCTGCATTTCAATATGGGCTGCTGCAGTATCTGAGGAGTTGCAAATACACAATTTTTCAGCACCAATTATTGGCGAACATCCTCACTTCTGACCTTATAATGGAGGGAAGGTCATTGATAAAGCAGCTGAAGATGGTTAGGCCTAGGACACTACTCTGAGGAGCCCCTGTAGAGATATTCTGGAGCTGAAATGACTGATCTCCAGCAACCACAAACATCTTCCTATGTGCCAGGTATGGCTCCAACCAGTGGCGAATTTGCTCCAGATTCCTACTGATTACACTTTTGCCAGAGCTCCTTGATGACACACTCGGTACAATGTGAGCTCGATGTTCAAGGGCTGTCATTCGCACCTCACCTCTGGAATTTGGCTCTTTTACCATGTTTGAACCAAGGCTGTAAGGAGGTCAGGAGCTGAGTGGCCCTGGTGGAACCCAAACTGGGCGTCACTGAGCAGGTTATTGCTGAGCAGGGGCTGCTTGATAGCACTGTTGATGACACCTTCCATCACTTTACTGATGATCAAGAGGAGACTGACGGGGTGGTAATTGGCCGGATTGGATTTGTCTTGCCTTTTGGTTACAGGATATACCTGGGCAATTTTCCACAATACTGAGTAGACGTCAGTGTTGTAACTGTGCTGGAAGAGCTTGGCTAAGGGAGTGGCAAGTTCTGGAACACAGGTCTTTAGTACTATTGCTGGAATGTTGTCAGGCCCATAACCTTTGCAGTAAGCAATGCCTCCAACTGTTTCGTGATATCACATGGAGTGAATTGAACTGGCTAAAGGCTGCTATCTGTAATGCTGGGCAGCACAGGAGTAGGCTGAGATGGATCATCCACTGGCTGAAGATTTTTGCAAATGCTTCCACTGAATCTTTTGCACAGATATGTTGGGCTTTTCTAATTTAGAGGATAGGGATATTTGTGGAGCCTCCTCCTTCAGTGAGTTGTTTAATTGTTCACTACCATTCACGTGTGGATGTGGCAGGACTGCAGAGCTAGGATCTGATCCTTTGTTTGTGGGATTATTTAGATCTGGGGCTATCACCTGCTACTTATGCTGTTTGGCATGCAAGTAATAATATCTGGTAGCTTCACCAGGTTGCCATCTCATTGTTGGGTTGCCCGTTAGTGAAGATCTCCATGTGGGCTAAATACTAATCCCTCCTTTACTGGCGCTTATCTTTCTGGCCCCAACTAGCCCAAGTTACCTTATTCCTCATACTCCCTTCGCTGCATGGGCTGTACTGCAGTACCAATTCTGGCCACTACCCATGGTGGCACTGAATGCAGTGGCGAGCTGCTTGACTAGCAGCACTTGGGGACAGGCTAAAAGATCTCAGATGTGGTGAGGCAGACATCGTACTGTGGATACCATAGCCAAGATTTTGAGGGTGTAATTCCCCTCAAACAAGCCTAAACATCAGGCTGCTGGAAGGAGGACACACCCCCTACCATAACAGTTAAATTCTGTCTATTGTTTTCCCCAAATCAGTTAAACATGATATGACACCACATATAGACACCACGAAGCCAAACACAGATCGTGACGTGCTAGAAACAAATATCATGTAGAATGATTACAGTACAGAAAGAGATCTTCCAGCGTTTTTGTTCATATTGCCTCTTTAGAAGAGGATTTCAGCCAGTCCCACTCACCAGCATTTATCTATAGCCTGTCAAATCCTCCTGAATCGGACAATGATGCAATTCTCTTGTGAGCCACAGCTGAATTTGCCTTCACCTCACTCTCAGGCAGTGTATATCAGGTCCTAACCACTCACTGCATGAAAAGTGATTCCTACCTTTGATTCTGTTACCAAGTGTCATTTAATCCAAGTACCAGGCAATGATCAACTTCAACAAGAGGGAATCTAACCATCGCTTCTAGACATTCAATGACATTTCTATTGCTGATTACCCTCCTATAAATATCCTATATGTTAGCATTGACCAGAAACAAAACTGGATCATCCATATAACTACTGTGGCTACAAGATCAAGTAGGAAAAAAAAACAGAAAATGGTGTTGCACAGGATCATTGTAGCATTTCCTGCAATGCAAAATTTATGTTAAATTTACAGCTAATATAAAACTAGGATTTATAGTTGACAGAGAGAAGAAATGCAATGTAACAAAAGTAGACTGGGCAGTTAAGTGGCGAATGAATTTTAACATAGATAATTGTGAAGTGGTGCACTTTGGTAAGGAAAACAGACACCTCAGAAAATTAAAAGCTTAATAAGAGCAAAGAAAGCTACAGCTGAACAGATCATTAAAAGCAGC